GATTTCTGTCCAGCAAACGACTTAATCCTGTTTGAAACGGAATATATACTTGACTGCTTTGTTGAGTTGAGAACTTAAAACTTTGGGTCCATTAGACCAATGTGGAGATTAAAGCCTCACACCTCTTTTTAGACGATAAAGCCACTGTTTCAACTTCCTTAACCCAAATCTTCTTTTTTTTCTGATATCATCCCAATCCTGTGCACAGATTATGTGCACTTCATACATTTTAAAGATCCCTTTTTACCATGCTGCCCACATTCAGTTTGCCATCTTGGGCTTTGGAATAGTGTCCAGATAATTAACAGCACAATAAAAGTCATGGCCCACCAAAAGACAAGAATTATTCTGAGCATCTTGCATACAAAACTGTGAGGCAAAGCCACACAAATACCTTCTGAGTTATTAAGCCAGGAAGATGTCTTTGTATTACGCTGTTCAGCTTTCTTAACATAGCAGTTGCAATGCAGTAAAGCTACTATACTGTTTCTTGATTGAGTGAGCCACGGGGTTCTGACTCCTTTAGGAACTTTGAATCACCTTAGATGAATGTTTCCAGAGAATGAAGGCATAAATATTGAATGGAAAGAATAGTTTTGCTGTTACTCATATGCCAAGGAACTTGGAGGTTTCACTTAGGGAACAGGATCCAACTGTGCTACTTAGCATACTTACTTAGAGGTTGTCAGTCAGAAAAGAGCTATTGTGTGCCTAGTCATGTAATAACATCAACAGAAACCAGCAGGGTTTAACCAAAGTTACTAAGCCTTGGTTGTAAGAGTGTCTGAATAGAAGTAAATGAAGCACACTGCATCAAGTTAATACAAAGAGGAGAGAAACTCAGCGTTATTACTTGAAGATTAACTTTTGCATACCTTAAGCAAGGAGGAGCACAGAGTAGAAGGAGACAAAAAGAGAAACACAAGCAAGGTTTTAACAACTATTTTTAGGTTCTACGATGTGTCAGACAATGTGAAAAATAGCAAGGGATATGCTGGTTTTAGTGGTCACATTCAAAAAGCAGTCTGCATTAGGTACTGCTGAAACTGCCTTCTAGAATGCAATCCTGGGATATACCATCAGATATAGACCCAGCCTGTCTTCATGAAAGCATTAAAGGAGAAAGAGAACAGAGGAGAGGGAAAACGAAATACATTTATCCCATTTATCATGCTTGCCACTCTCAGGATCAGCATCATTAAGATACTTCCAAGGGAATGTACATTTTGCTTTTTTCTTTAGGTATCTGGTTAGGATTTGGAGGGGTGAAGCAAAAAACAACCCACAACACAAGCTGTTTCACTAACACAACAGGCAGACAATGTGATTTTTGGTCAGTTCACACCTGAAGTCTAGAGGGGCTGAAGGCTGAGCGTAGGGCATAGAGGACTCCATGGCCTTTCCCTGAACAAGAGACAAGCAGGCTTTTCACAGGGCTGCATATCTGTAGCTTAGTAAGCCCAACATGTCACCTATAAAACCACATCTGCTCTAGGTTATGCTTGCTTTATAGCTGTGACTCTCCACAAGGGCATTTTAGGCAATCACAAAGTTAGAGCTGTTGAAATGAAATGTTGTGCTGAAGGTCTAAGTGGATTTAAGTCTAAGGAATTACATTAACTGATGTTAATGAACACCCACCTCAGTCCTTGAGGATCCCACATGAGTTAAACAATGAATTCACAGGTGAGCATTTCCAAGCTTGTATCTTAAAGGCAGACATACAACTCAAAAGCTCAGTTTGAAGTGAGAACTGAGAGCCTGCAAATGCCCAACTTCAGCCAACTCCCCACTCAAGACATGCCAATCCTTGCCATTGCTTCAGATCTTAATACACTAAATACCTGTTTCAAAGGATCAGTTCAGCATGTGAGATTCCCAGCTTCCATTAAAAACAGAAGTCCAGATTTGTGAAGGTGCAGACAGATTTTCAGGAACACCAGGTATTTCATTTCCAGTGATTCAATAAACAATCCATGGACTTTGAAATCTTATTCTATGGTCAGGTACACTATAGCTAGAAATTCCTTAAGGTTCCTAATCTGTTCCAGAATAACCTAGTGAGAACAGAAGTCTGAAGGCTAACAAAGACAAGCAGCAAGGCTAAAGTCTAAGCAAGATGGTTAAAATACAGTATTTAGTTTGTGTTTAGGAGCTCAAAGCAGATGGGAGGCATTCAAGTTCTTGCTTTAATGCCCCAGAATTAGTGCTTCTGTATACCTACTTTGAAAGCCAGGTCAGAAGCCTGCGTCTCTGGCCAAGAATGTTAAATGCCAGTCTGAAAGATCTCTATAATCACACTTCTTAAGGAGAGAGCATATTGGGACATGTGGCTTTTAAGGCATCTAATATTACTGGTTCCCTGAAAACATGTTATCTATGCTTGTCTCCATTGAGACCTGCCATTGACTCATCTTAAGTTACTGCATGTTTTATGAGTTCAGCTATGTCTTCATGTTCTAGGTTACCATAGCCACAACTGGTATTACGCACTGCCATCTTCAGTATTTCATTGTAAGATGCTGGTCAGCCACCTTTCCAAAGAGAAGGCACGTAGCAAAAGATTTTATATCACTTTTAAGGACAGCTGTCCAGAAGAAGCATGAAAGCAGCCTCCTTATTTCTCTAGAGCTGGAGCAAGTTCTGCTATCAATTCCATTGAAGTCATGACCATGAATAGAATTGGGATAGTTTGGTTTCTTTATTATAGACAGAAGGAATATATACTGCAACCAGGAATGACTAAGACTTTTTTTCTAGCCCAAACCAATCAAGGATTAAGAGCTCCAAACATGCTGAACACGATATGTCTCTTATTCCTTTTAAACTTAAGGAAATTTTACTGAGGGAAAGAAAATATTAGTCTTTGCTTTATTTTAAATAACTGACATACAAATCTAAAAGAAATAATAAAACAAGAGGAGGAAAACCAACTGATTTTACTTTGTAGGTGCATGCAGATGAATAAGTACACCCCATACCATACATTTTCCATTTTCTGTGCTCAGTTCACCATACAGGTAAATATCCTATTTACGGCCTTTAATTCTGGACATTAATGGCATCATGTTACACCCTACCTAGCTTATATATCCTGTTTATTAATTTGATATTGCTGGTTTGTAAACCAAAGACAAGCTGAACTGAATGCTGCTAACAAGCATTGGCAATAAAGCTTTTCTTTCCTTTCCTGTGTACGTCCTGGAGGTATCTGCATACAGGATGACAAATGTGCTTACACTGCTGTGTAGTCCATGGCTAAATAACTCAGCATCAGAAAGTCACAGAATACCTAAGTTTGGAAAGAAACCTCTGGAAATTGCCTAATCCAACCCTTCTGTTCAAAGCAGGGTCAACAAAAACAGGTTGCCCAGGGCTGTGTTCAGTGAAATTCTGCTTACCTCCAAGGATACAGACTCTCCAATCTCTCTGGGAAACCTATTCCAGCATTTGTCCACCTTCACAGCAAAAAAGCTTTTGATGTTTAGATGGGATTTCATGTATTTCAGTTTTTGACCACTGTTTCTTGTCACTGGCCAAGGGTGAGAAGAGTCTGATTCTCACTTCCTTATCTCCAACCTCAAACCCCCTCCCTCATCCCCCCATCAGGTATTTATACACATTGAAGACGTTCTCCCTGAGCCTTCTCTTCTCTAGGCTAGACAATTCCAGTTCTCAGAGCCTCTCCTCAGATACCCTAATCTTTTAATCATCTCTGTGGCCTTAACTGGACTCACTTCAGTATGGAGCTGAGAGGGAGCTGAACTGCTTGCTCCAGGCCCAACATGTGCAGGGGCCACAAGCATCCACCATAGCACATACAGAAAAGAGGGAGGGCTTCTTCACTGCTCCAAACTTCCCTATAGGTCTCAGGGGCTTGAGGGCAAATCCTGCCTGTAAGCTGAGGTGAAAACAATGTCGTTTAACAGCCTTTTCCATGTTCAGTGTCATCAGGTCATTGCAGTGGTGAGCCCCTCTTTCCCTTATCTGCCTTTTGCTGCTGATACACCTGTAGAAGCCTTTCTTATTTCCCTTTATGTTCCTCCCCAGATTCAACTCCAGGTGGGCACTGGCTTTCCTGACACTTGGACAGCACCTCTACTGTCCACCTGGGTCACTTGATCCTGCTTCCACCTCCTGGTGTATTAGCCTTTAATTCAGTTTGAACAAAACACCTTCCAGATGATGAAGAGCAGATTTCCTTTAGAGAGCTGCCTACACTCGCTGCCGAAGCTGAGCTGCTATGCAGACAAGACCCCAGGAGCTGAATCAAGACACACAGCAGATAATAATGAGCCTAAGTGGGTCTAAGGAATAAGATCACTTGAGTGCAAGGGGCAGTGCTGGGCTTCTACAGCAACCAGATTCAAGCACACATCATCTGAATTTAAATTCAGAAGTAGGAAGGGAAGAGAGCAAGTGGTAAGTCCTGTGGAGTCACACTGAAATCAAGTATCTCATTGTAAGGATGAAATAGCACAGTCAGAGGATCTTGTACATTGTCAGAACTGATACTGAGTTTCATTAGAGTATGCTACTACTCACAGAGGTCTATTAGCTGACAGAGTAATAGGGTTGGAAAGCATTAAAGAAGCATGAACTATTCAAATGGAGAGGCAAAGAGTCTATGACATCAGAATGAACTACATGATACTCTAAAGAGAGAAGCAAATAAAAGGACTGTAAAAACCACTTAAACCAGCTAGTTAGCAAGGAAGATAAAAGAAGAACTGGATGTGGTTTTAAACAAAACCATATAAACTGATTCTCAGTCGGTATAAACTGACATAGTTCTGTTAATATCAGTCACTTAACAGGTTTATTACACAAACTAAGTTCAGTGCTTTGAATCGATGCTGTAGGCTGACAGGGAGAAAAACACACCTTAACTGAAGGTTCACATGCACAAGAGTTGCAGGCTCACATCCAGTCTAAAGAACCTTGGGTTACTTTTAAGCTTGATTTTCTGACCACAGGTTTCCCATTCTGGATTCCAGCTTTCACAATACTGTCCCCACTTCCCTCCAGTGACCACTTACCTTCTGGAGCTCTTCCTGAATGCTTCTGCCACCGTTTTCCTCCGAGGATGAACTCTCCTTCTGGTTTTCAGGGTCTGTTCTAGGTTCTGACTCCTGCTCTTCACCAGAAGATGTTTCCTTGTCACTCATTTTAGCAGCAAGCTGAAATAACCTGGATTTAAGTTCCTCCTCCGTAAGGTCAGGCTTGCTATGATGACACTGACCTTCACTGCTTCTATCTGCTTCAGATAAATCATCAAAATCCTGCAAAGCAATTAGAAGAACAGTGTAATTACTGTGTGTGCACAGAAAGGAAAACAGCTTCCTAGGAAAGTATAGGTATGATCACTCTGCAGGGAAGCCAGAATGAAGTACACTAGGTGTCTGCTGATAAAAAAATACCATGTCTTTACAGAGGGATGCCAGCAAACCCACGCTTCTTGGAGTATATTTCTCATTCCTGCTTACTTCTATATTATGTAAAAAGGAACCATCAGAATCATTACACATCTATGTGCAACCAACCAAATATGTCTAAATGGCACTATCCCATTCCCAGCACTGCATGGCGCAGATAAAGGAAGCGTAGTTTGGGAATGAAGTAACTTGTGACCTGGCGGTTGTGTCCAGCTCTCAGCTGAAAGCTCTGCTCGAGTTCCCTGGCTGCTTGGCTTGAGCATTGTCTGTGTTTGGCTTAAAGGCTACTGGAAACATGTTTTGAAAAGTCTCTCTTATTATATATAATCATAGAATCATAGAATAGTTAGGGTTGGAAAGGACCTTAAGATCATCCAGTTCCAACCCCCTGCCATGGGCAGGGACACCTCACACTAAACCGTATTACCCAAGGCCTCGTCCAACCTGGCCTTGAACACTGCCAGGGATGGAGCACTCACAACTTCCTTGGGCAACCCATCCCAGTGCCTCAGCACCCTAACAGGAAAGAATTTCTTCCTTATACCCAATCTAAACTTCCCCTGTTTAAGTTTTAACCCATTACCCCTTGTCCTATCACTACAGTAAATGATGCTTAAGATTTTCAGCTTCCCCAGTGATTATAAGCATAGGTGCATCTCTACAGCAACAACTGTTATCCAAACACCAACCTCCTTGGAACAAGTTCTGTCTTTTAGAGCACTTCCTTTACTTACTCTTGGGAACTGTTTCAGTTTGAACCCATCACCCCTTGTCCTAGCGCTACAGTCCCTGATGAAGAGTCCCTCTCCAGCATCCTTCAATCAAGAAGAGCTTTATTTTCCAACATACCTTGCATGTCATTCAGGAGCTCATCCCAAGCCCTGCCCAACAATCACCTGACGAGAGATACTCACATATTGCTAAACTACTGCAAACAAATCTGCACATTGCTGCTGAATCAGTTCATCGCTTTGTACCCCAGAGAGAACCAACCCGAACGGATGGGATTTACAGGCTAGAAAGCACCGCTAAACTGGACACTTGTACTTTAGGAGCATACAGGTTAGTGGAGATGCACCTCATTAAACTGGGGCTATTTACAGCTAGGTATCTGGCCTAAGCTAATTACTGGGATCTCTCTTTACTGCAGTAACTCTTCTTGAGTTACCTCCATATATTTATTAGGTCCCTTCACAAACCTTCTGTGTTTTTGCTGCTCATTCACTTTATGCCTTACCTGGGCATTTGCAAACAGCAGATTCCCAGGCATAGCAGTGATTTCTTAGTCTAAGAGCAAAGGAGTTAAAAATAACCCCAATGCAACCAAACAGTGATTAATCAACAGCGGTGGCTGTTGGCAAGTCCTAGAACACTGTATTTCACAGTATTAACAATGTCACTGATCAGATGGAAGTGGCAGATTTGAGACAGAGGCAAAGCCTGCCCACGGTATGTGGAACATTTTACCTTGGCTTCTTCTCCGTTAGGAGGCATGAGGAAAATAAAGCTTGGAAGAACACTACCTCCCACTCCCAATTCACACGTTACTGCCAGCATCACTTCATTAGTTGTGCCCAGCTCTTTCTGAGGAGCGTGCATTTGCTAAGCTCAGACACAATTACCTGACTTGAATTCATCTTGTCGCCTTTTGTGCAGTCTTTTTCTTCACAGAACTCTTCAGAGACTGCTTTGTTCTTCCTCCACCTTCTCGATCTCTTTTCTAAATCATAATGGACCTCTTCAGTCTCGCTGCTGTCCGAGTACTCTAGGTTTGTGGCCTGCGGGTTGAAATTCACATCCAGTTCCCCGTGGAAATGCTTTCTTTCCATTCTGGGCACATCACTTTGAGGTCTGCTTTGTAACCAGAGAAGTTTGCCAGTTCCTTTGGCTTCCTGGGAAGAGTTGAGTGAAGATGTTTCCGAATCGGAGAACAGTGTCTCGGTATTGGTGTATAACCCAGAGGAAGGGGAGGTCACTGCCTGGTACTGATCACTGCCATAAACCCAGCCAGTGCCGTACTGGGAACTGGCATAACAGAAATCGCCTGGTAACTGCCGAGGTCTCCGACGCAGCTTGTTCAAGGCCACATTCCAGTCGTAGTCATCCTCACTGTCTGAGCCCATCTCATCGTAGGCAGACACAATGCTGGATTCATTCTCCAGAGCTTCAAATACTTGACTTTTTGGTTTGGCGAGCATCCGAGGACGAGGCAAAGAGACGTTCTGCAGAGCCACCCAGTTCCCATCAGTGCTTTGAAACACAGAAGGCAGATCTATGAAAACAAAACAACAATTGTGATCACAGAGTGAAAAGCTCATTTTACTCCCCAGTTTGTGATCAACTGATGACAAATAGGAGGGTTCAACACAACTAACAAATACAAGTGCTGCTGCTACATGAACTCATATTGTGAGCGATGCTGCTGTACTACCCTAAAGCCACCGTAAAGTCATGGCAATGACTCTTTAAAATAGACATTACTTGGACCAAAGTTCTTCCTAAAAGAGTTATTTGGAAAGGCTGAGGAAACATCAGTACACAGACATGTACAAATCCTGTGTTTTGCAAATGTCTTCCATTGTGTGTGCAGTTCTTGTCTCCCATCTTGACAAGGAAAGATGGAAAAAGGATCAGAGAAGAGCAACAAAGGTTTCACCAAGCTCTGAAGCATCTTCCTTTCAAGGAATGACTAAATAAGCCAGAGCTCTGCCATCTGAAGGAGACTGGGATGATGCATGATGAAAGAGATGAGGGAGTATCTTCCAACCTAACTACTAGAGGATATCACATGAAACTAGAGAAATCAAAGTTCAAAACAAAAGAAAGAAGTGGGATGCAGTGGGTACCACACCTATGGAACCTCTTGCCTAAGGGTGTTAATGGATGCTAGAAATTAATCTGGGATAAAGCAGAGATGGCTATAGACCTGGAAGAGAAATCCACTGAGGTTAACTAAATACAGAAAACCACTTGTAGCTGAGATGGTCATTAAGCTGAAAGACCTGGAGGTTCAGAGCCTACACACAGAAGGACTGAGAAATACTTGCTTTCTTCTCCACTTGCAGCACTGTGTGCAGCTCTGCTGTCCTCAACATAAGAAGGACATGGAGCTGTTGGAGCAAGTCCAGAGGAGGCCATGAGGATGATCAGGGGCTGCAGCATCTCCTGTGTGGAGACAGGCTGAGAACATTGGGGCTGTTCAGCCTGGAGAAGAGAAGCTGCGTGGAGACCTTGGAGCAGCTTCCAGTGTCTGAAGGGGGCTACAAGGATGCTGGAGAGGGGCTCTTCATCAGGGACTGTAGTGATAGGACAAGGGGTGATGGGTTCAAACTGAAACAGGGGAAGTTCAGGTTAGATCTAAGGCAGAAGCTCTTCCCTGTGAGGGTGCTGAGGCGCTGGCACAGGGTGCCCAAATAAGTGGTAAATGCTCCATCATCCCTGGCGGTGTTCAAGGGCAGGATGGACAAAGCCTTCGGTGACATGGTTTAGTGTGAGGTGTCCCTGCCCATGGCAGGGGGTTGGAACTGGATGATGTTAAGGTCCTTTCCAACCCAAACCAGTCTGGGATTCTATTCTAACCTTTCCTAGGCTCATGCTTACAGTTACTGTTGCTGCTGCTGTTGTACCCTAGACTAAATGAGCTTTTAGTCTGACCCAAGCACTGCTGCTCTCGTATTCTTACACTTGTTCAGAGTATGTTTTACAACTCTGACAGGAAAAAAATAATATTAAAATGGCATAAATATGGTCAAAAAGTGCTGTTTAGCTCAGAGAACTGCATTGCTTCAAATTTAGTCCATTTCCACTCAAACTTGAAATGTCCCTTCAGGGCAAATGTGGATGTGTGATGACTCCCACAGCAGCAGAAAGAATATGTAATGCTATGGCTTTACACAGTAATCTCAACCTCCTGAATGGCTTTTCAGCCTTGCAGGTTCCTTCCATGGGTTCAAATCTGCCACTTCCAGAAAACTGTGAAAACAAACTTACTATAGAGTCATAGAATAGGGTTTGGGTTGGAAGGGAAGCTCTTCTACTCCAACCCCCGAACTATCAGTTTGCCAAACCTATAAAGAGAACATCACTGTTTAAAAAATGGACAAAGTAAAATCGGGATTGTGTTGCAGATGCCACACAAGCATCTTGCATCACATGGTGGCAAATACTTGGAGCTCATGAAGATGACTTTTCCCCTGGAATCATTCATAAGGAACAATCTGCAGTAAGAAGGTGGGCTTAGTTGAAAAGATAACAAGAAGAAAGGTCCGTGGTGCAGCAGCACCACCAAAACACCCCCACAAAAGAGAAGCAATAAATCAAAGGTAATTAAACACCATCTATGAAAGACTTTACAACAGGTTTTGTATTTGTTACTCGTTTTGAGTCGTTTTGGCCTGTTTTCACTCCTAAATTTCACGCCGATTAAGAGACCTTGAGAAAAGCCATCACTAAAATTGCTACTCCTGCTTCAAAAGAAAGCAAAACAGGAATAGTTTCCTTGCAGCAGTGACCAGCCGAGGATACAGCTGAAGTCTGGTTTCTAGGGAGAACTAAAAGCCCTTCGTTGTAACAGCTGATTTTGGACAAGAAAAGAGCACAAGCGATCAAGCATAAGGAGCTTCTGCTTGTCTGCTTTTTACAACTATGCCACCAAGCTAAGCATAGGTTTCTCTTGGGAGAAAGAAGATCTTTCTTTAAAGCACTGTTCCTTCAATCAAAGCAAACACTCCTGCAAGATCTAAATCTCCAACAGGAACTGAAGTCAGCTGCACCACATTGCACTAACGGAATGCAGTGGAGTGCCACGAATGCCACAGTCTCTCTCTTTCCCAAACCATATCCCCCTGTTTTGTGCAGCAACACCATATGAGAATTGCCCAAACATCCTCAGTTAACTGAAGCAGGGACAGGAGTGTAGCTGATCACATCAACAGTTACTGAGAGGCGTTACTCAGCAGAGTGGAAAGGAAAGCCACTGAGTACATTATAGTCAGAAAGCTGACTCAGTTTTATCCCAGCTTCAAGTAATGCCACATGTTCCTCCTGATTATCCAAAACAAAGTCAACTACTTGAAGGAATGGCTTTTGCACACAATTCTTTGGGCTTACACTATAATTTATTCATGTGAAAATGAAAATTAATCAGAATTATCATTGTGAAATGACTGGTAAAGGGGAAACCCCCCAAATTCATGACTTGGCTCTTGAGCCATCATTTAAACCAGTGCAAATGGTAACCAAAATAAACTGTGAGCTGCTTTTTGGCTACGTGACTAAAAATCCCACTGATGTTACCACTCCAAACTCTTGGTTGTGATTACTTTCATTTCCTGTATCCTAACATAGAGCTGCTTACTTCTGCATAGGTGAGATCATTTTTACACATACTGGCACAATCAGCTATTTACTATAAGCTCAATAGGCACCACAGTTTCATCACAAATGTGGTTCTTAGATGAAAGCAGCAGAACAAATCCTCTGAATAGAGGTCCTGAAAGGAAACTGGGTCAATTTGTCACTCTGTTGTGGTTAAGCAATTGTTAAGTGCTAAATTGCTCAACGGTTCAATTCAATGGGCTTGAAGTGGGTCCTTAGATTTAAGCACCCAATTAAACTGCTTTACTGAAAATAGGCCTTCCACTAAAACACCCAGGGAAACACTTCTGAATGAGCAGTTCACAAAGTAATGCATACTTACTTAAGTCAGGTTTTAGTACTACTTTACAACTGCTTTAGAATTACAACTACTTTCTTTTGTTGAGAGAGGAAGGGTATTGACACTTTAATTTGCAGTCTCCCAGGTTATCAACTGGCATTACAGATAAACGAACTGAAATGATGGGCAGCCCTCATCCCTGCTCCCCACTATACCTATACACATATTGTGGCTGCTTCTGCTTGCCAGTGCTTAGTGCGCCAGCTGCAGCAGCAACAGCAGTAGTAAACTCATCCTACAAAAGAGAAGTTTTCTGCTTCTTTGGCTTTATGAAGCAATTTACTACAAGGATCAGATGGGCTCTAAGGCTGGTGCAAGCTGGAACAGCAGGAACAAGCAGACTCCATCACAGGAGGACAACAGCAGCAGATAGGATAGCTCTGCTGGTCCCCATCACCTGGGGGCAGGGGCTGCTGCAGTGAGCAGCCTTCCCCTTGTGTTGCTGTGTAGGTGAAAACTAAACAACTCTTCTGTGCAGTCCCTGCCTGGTTCTACACTCTTGTGGCCTCATGAACACTACAACCAGAACATAAGAGGTGGTGGCAATGGGACCCCCCCACAAGAGCAGGAACCACCTTCTTCACTGACAGACTGTACTTATGTCATTTTGAAGCAAGCAGGGAACTGCATTCTATCCCAGGGTTCTGATTCAGGAATGGGGCTGATTTAGGAAGCTGCTTACCAGCCATTATCCATATTCACATCCATAACTAATGCAGAGAGGGCAGATCCAGGGAAGCTGCTGGTCTGTGAAGTTCTACTCATACAGCTTCCTCAAACCTGTGTGGAAGCAGCAGTCAGCAGTGCTGCACAGAACACTGCGCTGGTGAATTCACTGGGACTGAAAATAAAGCTGAAAGGGGGAATCCTAAATGTGAGTTATTTCACCGTTTGGTTCACCATGTAACCTCATGAACAGTTCACTTGTGCAACAGAAGGGATACCATAGGCAGCTGCAAACACAGATGACCAAGTGACAAAGAAGGGCTGCTGGGCTCTTGTGTCTTAGAAGCTCTGAAATTCACCCAAATGAGATGCCTGATGTTTCCTAACAGTCCAAAATAAACCCCCCAAAGGCCCAACTTCTGAATCTGTTCTTGGAGGAAAAGAAGAAAAAGGTAAAGACAAGCAGTGACACAGCCAAACGAAACCAGGACATTCAGCATCACGTATAGACATCTCTATGCGTAACCCCTGTGAGCACAGAGATCAGCAAGAATCCCCTGGAGAAGGTCCTTAGTTTAAGTCATATTTATTCCATATGTGAGCAAGAACCAAAGAAAAGAATCTTATTCGTACTAGAAATATTTACTTGTTTCATTTAGCCTGTCCACACTCTTCCAGCTGGGTAACGCAGAGAGCTTGCGTTCCTTCTGCTTCCTCGAGTGGCCTTTTTGCTGCCTCCAAAGAGCCTCAGTCACAGATGATGCAGGGTCGAGTCCTTTACTGGGCATATCTTCACTAGCCAGGGAGAATGCAGACTGAGACCTCTGTGGGGATAAAAGTCAAAAAGCATAATGTAAAGAGACAAATAATAACTTATCAAACTCTTTAGCAGAACTGAGTATTCAGTTACGCGTGGACGGGGGCATCTGCTGGCACACATAGATAGAATTTAATGTGTTCAAAAGAATTGTTTCAGCACTAGAGTGCTTATTTACGTGCACTTGTGATGCGATGCAAGGAGGCAGGAAACTGTTTATACCACCACAGAGCAGATGGAAAGAAATAATTAAGGTGAAGCTGTTAGGAATGTGCTTGGTGAAGACTGGTATCTAACTGCTTCGACTGAAGCTAGCCAGAAAGAGCTCCCATGGTGGTGAGACATGATGATCTATTGTTGGCTCAACAGCCCATCTGCTGTAACAATCTGCAGAAGTTAAAAATGAAAAGATAAAGCAAACAAACAGCCTGTTCCCCAGAAACAGATTATTGTCATGCAGAATTCTTTTGTTTGCTAGGGCAACTAAGATGATTAAGGGAGTGGAGCGTCTCCCTTATGAGGAAAGACTGAGGGAGCTGGGTCTCTATAGTTTGGAGGAGACTGAGGGGTGACCTTATTAGTGTATATAAATATATAAAGGGGGAGTGTCACGAGGATGGAGCCAGGCTCTTCTCAGTGGCAAACAATGATAGGACAAGGGGCAATGGGTACAAACTGGAACACAAGAGGTTCCACTTAAACTTGAGAAGAAACTTCTTCTCAGTGAGGGTGACAGAACACTGGAACAGGCTGCCCAGGGAGGTTGTGGAGTCTCCTTCTCTGGAGACATTCAAAACCTGCCTGGACACGTTCCTGTGTAACCTTATCTAGGTGTTCCTGCTCCGGCAGGGGGATTGGACTAGATGATCTTTTGAGGTCCCTTCCAATCTCTAACATACTGTGATACATATGGATTGCACAGTATGCTGGGCACATCTATTTATCCCTAGGAGGGTGACATTTCAAGTCAAAGTGAGGTAAGTTCCTGGTGTGGTCGTTAATGAGCCCTGACTAATACTGAAGGTAAGATGCTTTCCTTTGGATCTACATAGTTATGACTGAGGCACCTGGGTCTGTTACAGAAGTCACATTTAAATCTGACCAGCTTTAAGAAGCTTTTTCCCCATAAATCTTTATGAGTCAAAACCTCAGTCTTGGCCTTCGTAACAAAGTTGGTAAAGGACTGCTTGTACGGGCCAGAGTTTCATTAAGAAATATGCTGTCAAGTGGCTCAGCTTCTTTCTGCAGGCCAAGTTGGCACTCCCCAATCTGATCCTCAAATTATGTGTTATAAATTATTAACTAAACCTGTTAATGTCAAAAGGGCCAGTCTTTGCCTGCAGCAGAGCCTTGCCTTGCACTGGTGCAGACGAGGAAAAGGATAACTTCAGCTACTTCTTTGAAGTCCATTCCATTCCTGGGGCAGCACAAGCATTGCTGGGAGTCCCACTGGCTTGAAAGCAGCACCTACACCACTTTACTGGCTGCTCTTCCATCTGAAATGCTCCTGTGTGGGACCATGTGCTATGCCAGAAGATGTAATTAACTTCAGATCTTCCTACCTCCTTGGCTCAGCAGTGTGATTTCGTAACAGATTAACTAACGAGAAGCACAATTAAGCACTGGGGTTTAGTTTGGCTTTTGAACCCTGCAGGAAAGCCAGAATTATTGCCCTGGAATCGAATGTTTCTGTAACTACAATGAGATTACGTGGTTAATCGTGCCCATGCAAAGACACAGGTCCTAATGTGATGCACTGGAGTCTTTCCTTTCAAACTCAGTAATGCAAACTACTAACAGTAAGCTCATAGTACTGTATCTTATTATAGGGAATCTTTTAGATGAGTCACTTATATAAACCAACGACATTCAAGTGTGTATTTAGGTTGTTTCGAACCCCCAAATAGATTTTTACCTGATCAAAACCATCCGAATCCTCCTTAACCCTCTAAAAGGGTTAATAATTTAATACAAACAGGTACATAGATTGTTTTGCTATAGGAAGTTGTTTGTTAACTTTGATACAGGATATATGGACAACATAAGCAATCCCACCACAAATTTGGAGCTCGAACTATGACACCTTTCACTTCATTGTAAGCCAGGATTACTGAACTTCCCATCCTTCCAATAAACTGGGACCAGTTCACGTCTGCCATACCCTCTGGTATCTTTGTATGTACTGAAAGCAGCAAGTTGTTAGAGGTGTCACTATTTTCACAGTACCAGGACTATTCCCTCAGGGTACATTCTTTTCCCACTTATATGGCAAACACACAGAGGTAAGAGATGCTGAAGAATCCAGAAGAAGGGATATCCACTAGTACCTACTTTCCCTTATTACCTAAAGAACTGAATCATAAGAAGAAGAAAAACCCCAGGAAAACCTTAAGTAGTTCGTATAATAAAAACCTGGGCTCAGAGAATGAAAAGAACCTGTTTTTTCTTATGTAAAATCTGTAGATTCAACAACTTTCCCGGGGTTTTGTTTAAATGGCAGCTTCTTGCCTGCCTACTCACTGCTTCAGAAACATCACATCACAGGGATGCAGTGTCTGCACTTAGCTCCCAGCTCACCTGTGAGAGCAGGATAGCCCTGACAACACAGAGCTTGGCATGGCCTACAAAACCCATGGAAGGAGCTCAGCGACCCATGCTTCCACAGGAATGATGCTCCCAGCACTGCCTGAGCAATCTGAAGCTAGTTCAGGTGCATCTACACTAGAGGATTTGGGTGGTAAAACACTGGCACAGGTTGCTCAGAGAGGTGGTGGGTGAACCATCGCTGGTGACATCCCAGGCCAGGCTGGATGTGGTTCTGGGCAACCTGATCTGGTTGAAGATGTCCCTGCTCGTTGGAGGGGGTTGGACTGGATGAGCTTTGAAGGTCCCTTCCAACCCATTTTATGGTTCTATGACTCAGAAGGACTAGAAGATGCACAACAGCTTGAAGGGTTTAAAAAGGAGAAGATGAGCATGAAGGGCCTGATGGACAAACAGCAGTGAAAACCAAGGAAGCACAGAAAAGAAAGTAGAGCCAGTCCATGCGCTATAGCATCTTAGGATTCCAGATAAGCTTATCCAAACAAGCTGATCTAAACCAAGCTGAAACTTTCAGGTCAGGTCAGAGGAAAATGGCTCTCCACAGTTTCTATCAACTCAGGGAACTGGTATTTCGCAGGAACTACTGCTAATTCTTGGGAAAATCCCTCCAAAAGCAGCAAGGAGAAAAGATCTTGGTACCTCCAAATCTTGGCTTGAGCCCGTCCTCAACAGCTGTCTACACATTATGTGGGTTTTTGATGAAATCTATCTTGGACTGCTCTCTTAGGAGTACCACCACTTCTCACTGGACATGGTTCAATGTCAGAAGGCTCAAGGAGACAAAAGCAATACCAAGCTGAAATAGCTTGGCTGCACCCCTGCATTCAGCTCCTGACACAGGATGAAATGATGTTCCTGGAAAAGGCTGTTCAACCAGCAGTCTTCACTATTGCTTTTGTAGTTCTCTGTGGCTCTTGTATCAGGAGGGATTTAAATGCTCAAGAAGTGACAGCGTTCTAATAAGCATAAATTAATAAGAAGCAATGAAAGTAGAAGATTAGGTTATTTCTTGTTCTGAAAGTTAGTTTTAGATAGGGATAGCAGGGCAGACAGAACTGTGCTTTACACCCCAGGTTCCAGTATAGATTGGGGAACGACCTGTTAGAGAGCAGTGTAGGGGAGAGGGACCTGGGGGTCCTGGTGGATGACAGGGTGACCATGAGCCGACACTGCCCTTGTGGCCAAAGGCCAATGGCATCCTGGGGTGTATTAGAAGGGGGGTGGTTAGTAGGTCGAGAGAGGTCCTCCTTCCCCTCTACTCTGCCCTGGTGAGACCTCATCTGGAATATTGTGTCCAGTTCTGGGCCCCTCAGTTTAAGAAGGACAGGGACCTGCTGGAGAGAGTCCAGCGCAGGGCAACTAAGATGATGAAGGGAGTGGAGCATCTCCCTTATGAGGAAAGACTGAGGGAGCTGGGTCTCTATAGTTTGGAGAAGAGGAGATTGAGGGGTGACCTTATTAGTGTATATAAATATATAAAGGGGGAGTGTCCCGAGGATGGAGCCAGGCTCTTCTCAGTGGCAAACAATGATAGGACAAGGGGCAATGGGTACAAACTGGAACACAAGAGGTTCCACTTAAATTGGAGAAGAAACTTCTTCTCAGTGAGGCTGACGGAACACTGGAACAGGCTGCCCAGGGAGGTTGTGGAATCTCCTTCTCTGGAGACATTCAAAACCCGCCTGGACACGTTCCTGTGTAACCTTATCTAGGTGTTCCTGCTCCGGCAGGGGGATTGGACTAGATGATCTTTTGAGGTCCCTTCCAATCTCTAACATACTGTGATACTGTGATACACAGACAGGTATGGGTGGAAAGAAAGTGTGAGAATTCACCCTTGAGAGCAGTTCAAATAACAGCGATAATGGTACAAAACAGCAATGTCAATAGCCAAGCCCAGTGTACAAACAGGACAGAGGCATATCCTGCCATGAGAACAGATCAGTCTACATTAGCAGAAACTGGCCATTTTTTCAGAGCACAAAAGCAAATGTTTGCCCACAGGTTTACCTCCAAGCAGTTACCAGCCTGACTGATGATTCTATCTGAGAAGCAAATGACTTGGGTACTTCCCTTTGCTGCTTTTGCAATTAAGAGCAAACTAGAAAGTTAGTTATTTGGTGTGAGGTTACACTGCAAAAGCTCTAATATGGGTTAGGTTAGAGTCAGCTCAGCTGGCACCACTAACTTGACAGCCCTCCAGCTCTACATAGGCATCAGCAGAGGCTACAAACTTATGCACACGCCTGGCTGTGCTGCTGACTTCACTGCAGCACTTACCTTTGGCAGGCAGCACAAGCTCCATCCCTGGCAGTGTTCAAGGCCGGGCTCTACAGAGCCTTGGGCAACCTGCTCTAGTGTGAGGTGTCCCTGCCCATGGCAGCGGGTTGCAAATGGATGATT